CCCTGTCCCGTGGAAAAATTGTCTTCCATGAAACCGGTCCCTTGTGCCAAAAAGGCTGGGGAATACTGAAGTAAAAAGGTTACAGTGAGTTAATTTATTATTAAATAAAGAAAAAAAATACTTTTATAACTTTAGTGTAGCCTAGGTGTACAGCAATGTCCTGCAAGCTCCATTCATTGTAAGTGCCCTATACCCATGCACCTTTTTTCTCTTTTATATTGTATTTTTACTGTACCTTTTCTCTGTTTAGACTTGTTTAGATATACAGATACTTACCATTGTGTTACAAATGCCTACAGTACTCAGTACAGTAACACGCTGTGTAGGTTTGTAGGCTAGGAGCGTATTAGGCCGTATCATCTAGGTCTGTGTAAGTACACTCTGCGATGTTTGCACAATGGAGTCACCTAAAGATGCATTTCTCAGAACATATCCCCACGGTTCAGGGACACATAACTGTATTTTATACACATTGGAAAGAGAAAGTGAAAGTTCCATAGTGTTTATTTAGTCAGGGAGATAGACGCTACAGCTGTGACTTCCTGTATCAGTTTTCTATTGCTGTGTAACGAAATACCACACATTTAGGGGATTAAAACAACAGCATTTATTAGCTCACAGTTCTGAGTCGGAAGCGTAGGCAAGGCATGGCTCAGTTCTCTGCTCAGGGTCGTAGAGGTCTGTGGGCCTCTCCCAAGCTCCCTGGAAATTGGCAGAATTGATTTCCTTGTAGTTGAAGGACTGAGATCCCATTTTCCTGCTAGCTGTGCGCTGAGGACTGTTTTCAACTCCTGGAGGCTACGCCCTCTCTGTGTGCAGTTCATAAACTGAATGAACGTTTGCTTTCTTCCACCCACCACGGTCCATTGCCCTGACTTCTCCTGGGAAAAGTTTTCTGCTTTCAAAAACCTCATGTGACTTGGTTTGGCTCACCAGCACAATCTCTTTCTTAAGGTCAACGATGTCGTATGACAGAACTTCACTGTAGGGTCAAATCCACCATATTCCCTGTCATTGGGATCACACAGGGGTGTGTGCCAGGGGAGGGAAGTCTTGGGCGCCATCTTAGGATTCTGCCGGCCGCGTGTCCTCTCACTACACTGTCACTAGAGGAACAGCAGTATCTAGAGCAGCAGCAAGAAGAGGGCCCCAACAAAGAAAATCAGCCAAACAAGTCAGAGAAAAACTGAAAAGTGCAATCTTCTCAATGAAAGGCCTTCTAGCCAGAGGACTAAGAGCATGGAGTCTGGAGCTGCACTGACAACTCTGCGAGTGGCTCACCAGCTGTGTGGCCTTGGGCAAGCTCTTGACACTTACAGTGGCTTACCTGTGAACTGTAGCCAGTAGCAACACCTACCTCAGGGGTTGTTGTGAAGATTAGATGAATAAATGCATGTGACGCTTGTAGGAAAGTGTCTCAGAGAACAAAAATCCCCGTGTATGTGTTTGCCAACGTTTGAAAAGATTAAATCCCTTTTCTATCACACTGCCCAGTGGAGAATATGATTTCTATTCTCACTGGAAATTTAAAAATTCATTTTATAATCACCAGTTTCTACCTAGCATTGTCCTGGAGACATAGCAGGGATTTAGTAAAGGTTTGTAGAAATCAACCGATTATATTAATAGTAGAGGATGGATTTGGTGACTGAAAAATAGGCTGGATTGGGGTGAGGGTAGGGGCTTGGGAGGGGAAGGCTGGAAAGAGAAAGAGTTCAATGGAGAGAAGTAGAAGAGTAAATACATCAAAATAATTGGACAAAGTATGAACTAATGAGGAAAGAGCCAACAGAAGGGAAGAAGTATTAAGGAAAAGGAAAGGAAAAAAAATCCTAGTTACTGGAATTAGATACGGGAACGGGCAACTTGGCTTTCAGCTGATGTTTGGGAATATTTAAATCTTCATTTACTCAAATTAGCCTCACATTTAAGAGTAACAAAATCCCTATTGAGATAACGGATCATTATTGGAGTCCAATGGATAAATGATTTTGCTTTTTACAAGAGTTTTGCTGTGAATTTATGAACATTTTCGAACTGTACACTGGATTTGTAAAGCTAGTTTGAATGGGAAATGATTGCATCTTGGGCAAGTCAGAATATTCTTACTTGCAATTTAACTGTGATTACTGTTACTATAAAAGATTCCCATCGAATACATGCCACTTAACCTTTCTACAATCCCATCCTTGCTGCAAGCAGCTGACAGGCAAATTGATCAGCTATAATATACCCAATCAGATAAAGACGGGGGTTATCAGCAGAACACCTGGCATATTTGAAGAAGTGAATTAAAAAGGTCATGTGCTATCTGACAACCTTTGGCTATAAGAGGAAGCAAGAAGCAGAAAGCATGAGAGGACTCTCGGGACAGGGATTGGCATTCTCTCCTTAGAGTTTCTCCTGTAATTTATGAAGAAATCAGTACAAAGGTACATGTCAAATTTGTTATAATTGTTGTATTTTCAGAAGCGCCCAGTTCACAAGATGCTGCACTAAATTCAAAGTTAATGTTATCACAAACAATGCCTCTCAAACATATGAATTATCTAGGGGTCTTTTAAAAATGCAGATTCCGATTTTGTAAGTTTGGGGTGGGTCCCAAGCACTTGCATTTCCAATACGCTCTCGTGTGATAGCCATGCTGCAAGGGCACAGAGAAGGCCTGGGAAGGGTCTTTTGGGTAACTTTTATGTTAGATGTTAGCCTCGTCTTTGGAAATGTGATCAAATACATCATATAAGATTTAGACTTGAGACTAACCGGACATTTTCTCTTCAGCGTACATTTACTTTGTCACTCCTTTAAGCTATGCGTAACTCAGGAGGAGATTGGCAGTACCTATACCACTCTCAGAGCCGGGCAAGTGGGGACCTTGTCCCAGTCCTGCTCCTCAGGGAGCCTTGTTCTTTGGAGTGCCTTCTTTGAAATTTGCTAAGTGCCCTTCTGGTGCCCGCCTTGTTTCTCTCCTTTGTGGTGCTCTCTGTCGCTTTCCCTGTGTATAAGGTTGACCAGATGTCCTGGGGAGCTCCGGGACTTGTCCCTAGGGGGTCATCCTGGGGCCTTGTGTCCAGGCTCCACTTTCAGTAGGGTGGCCTGGTGAGCAGATTGCGCCTGCTGTTTGGCAAGATATTTCTTTTGCAGAATTGCATGAAATTTGGCAGCCAAAATGATGCCGATTTTGGATAATTCTCACTCACATTGGACACAGGCCTAATTTAGGGCTCTGGGCTATCTAAGGTTCGCTGCCCAAACCACATGTGTGGGCCCATGTATCCCCTCTCACTATCTGTGTTCTGAGCATGGTGCCACCTCTGATATAGAACATCCAAGGGCTGCAGGGCTGGCATCAGCTGTCCTTATATCCCCTCTCCTCCCACCACTGATATTCAGGGCAGTCACCCCATCCCCTCTGCAAGTTCTATGTCATGAGTCAGGCAGTCCTTTGGGGATGGCTGCACCTACCTCTTCTGAAGGCTTTTAAGACTATTGCTCCCCCCACAGCAATGGGCCCTTCTGATTGATGTTGTGATGCTCTATTCTCCCCGGTTGGTGTTAAACTCTCCTGGATGAGGAACAGACATTCCTTGGGCAAATGGGACTTCTCATTTTGCTCTGCTTACGATCTCCTTTCCACTCGTGGTTGGTGTATGGGAGGCAGGGTGCAGTCAACACGAAATAGATCAGTTCTAGGAATGCAATGATTATGGCCTAAAAGGTTCAAGAGAAGATGTAGTTGAAAGATGTGTTGTTCTATATTATACTATAACATTCTAAATGATAAATTTAACATGACCAGTAAACAAATTATCATTCATGTTTTCCTGTATGTATAGCCTGGTTAAGACTTTAAATTTGTGGTTATCATCAAAGAAGTGCCAGTAACAATCTTTGAGGGACTGGAAGCCAGTATTCATGGTAGCACAGTGGATGATGCAATGTCAGAAGTAACGATAAAACCAACATTAAATAAATGGTAGGAGGGTATTGCATAGGATTAAAGATTTATATTAGCTCAGTGCAACTATGTTACACACAGCCATGGCATTATGAGTAATGATAGCATTGCTACCCTTTCTTGTGGTGAAAGATATGAAATTAGTAAGGAATGGCTCATCTGATAATAAAGAAAACAAAGAAATGATTCCTGGACCAAACAAAAAGAGCTGGGACCAGGGTAACAAGAAGCATCTTCACATGCACTGATTGAACAATAAAGAAAGAAATCTTCCTATTATTCTAAATCTTTATCAGTAAATCACTATACTGCATACACTTACGAATTTTATAATGGAATTTTAATAACATTATTTATATTGATAGGAGCCCTGCAAAAAATACTTGCCTGGAAACCTGCACAGCCTAGTAGTAGCCCTGGAAGTGGGGCTTTGGTGGGAAAGAGGACCCTTAGGGAGAATTACAAGGTGGAAGATTGTCACAGTAAAACATTTAGAAACTCAGCGGGAACTTACAAGGAAGAAAGAGGTCTATACTTAAACAATGCAAGAAAAATGTACAAAGGGAGCTCAATATTGTGCTTCTGCTTTCTCTGAGCTTCACTCATAAAGGATTAAAACCAAAATGGAATTAAAATGGAAAGTTTTCTTCTTTGCACTTAACATAACCGGAATTTATTTTGAGATGTTTTTGTTGTTGCTGTTAATATGTGTATAACAGAATATTTTTAGTTGCCTGTCTATGGTAATTGCCCAATAAAGTAAAACTAAAATCAAATATCTTCAAGAACTTTTTAAAGTAAAGAAGAAGGCATTGAGATTTCACAGTCGCAAATCTGTGTAAATATTTGGGTTGTCAAATTAAAAAAATGGTTTCATTATTTGCAACCATGCCATGAGGAAAAATTATGAAGGGGAAAAAAACTCCTTTCTAATTCACATGCGAAGGAAACAAGACAAAATTTTCATTTTGTACACAAAGAAAAAACTCAGAGCAATATTAAAATTCCCCACCAGAGTACATTATAAATATTTTTTGGAAGACGACCGTATTTGTCCAAAATTTTGATGATCTTACCCATTGGCCTAACATTTCTATTTTTAGCAATTTATTTTGTAAAATGTTTGCACAAATGTGCCAATATGTATGTAAATGCACATATACTGCCTTTCCAGACTAATACATACCTCAAATCGAAATCAAACTTTCGAACCTCAAAACTGTCTAAACATCTCTGGGATCAGTGATACGTGAAAACATAAACTACAAGGAAAGAGTTTATCATGGACTTAGAACTTCAGATATTCAAATTCAAAATAGAGTCAGTGGTCTTCTGTAGTGTAATATAGGGTAGTATTTTAAGAGATTATGAAGAGGACAGAAAGTATAGAGGTTCCACTTTTGGTAGACATGAGAGTTAAACAAAGAATTAAGTAATAAATTCCAGAATATGGTTGCAGTGTTTTGAGCTGATGAAAAAGGAAGAGGTTAAAATCCTCCAAATGCAAAGTCTTAGAGAGTAACCTGTTGGTCCTTTGGAGCCCAGCTTCCTGCGTAAGCTTATCTCCAACCGAGAACTCCGTGTTTTTGTTGACGTTCTGTGGCTTGGCTACAGGTTGGAAGGCTACTTGAGAATAGTCTTAAACCTTCCCTGTGTAAATCAGTTCTCTTTGTATTTACTCTCAGGAAGGTAGTTTTTGTCCACCTTTAAATGGAAAGAAACAAAATAATATATCTTAAAGAAAAATGACCTTTTAAGTATGTTTATGTAAGCACAGAAATTTTTAAGAGATATGGATGAAAAACGGATCCGACTATTAAAAAGTACGTTAATATTCTTGCAAAACAGAAAGACAGGTAATTAGTCTTGTTCATTCTACTGCTGCTAGTGCCAAACCAATGTTTTTAATATCAACACGACCAGAAAATGTGAAATAGAGCTTTAAATCATTGACTCTAAACTTAGAGGTATATCATTAACGTGCATCTATCTCTGGCTGCAGCTTATTTTATTCATTTCATTTTGATTTTGTGGCCAACAACAGCTTCAAATTGAATATCCTGTACACGATTTATGGCTGCCAAAGCACGTTCGGGAAGAAACCTGTATGGAAAAAAGAGATGAAATAGTTTCAGTTTAAAATCTTTGACACCAGAGTCCCTTTTTGGGTTAGGTAGAATATTCTAGGTGTTACCTGGCTTGCAGTTAATTTTCCTCTGTTTTCCTTTCTTCCTTTGCAACTACCTCTCCTTTTTGTGTGTGTGTCTTTTTAATATTCATAGTTCAAAGTGCATACAAATATAAAGAAAACACTGATATATATCACTCTTCTCACCCTCTCATCCTATATTAGTAAAATCTTATAGGAGATTTTATATATCTAAAACTGACCTCATTGCTGAAATTGTCGATTAATCCCAACGCTAAAAGCTCACAGATAGACACCACCAGAATCCATGCCTCCGCCTCTCCTTAACTATTAACTGAATATCTACTATGCACTCTATAAAAAGGTAAATTAAAGTACTTAAAAAAAATAGCTACTGCCTTTGAGGAACTTATTGTTTAGCTGAGAGGCCAAGATCACTGTCTTAAAACAATTACTGAAAAAATATCAGCCATCCGAAATTAAGGACTATAACGGTAAGGGTGATTAATATGGGCTGGAATAGTGGAGAAAAGTTTCAAAAGGACAACTAGATGTTCAAGGATGGGTAAGATTCAAGTACACCGATGAAAGGAAGAGAGTGTGAGTGAATGTAAGGTGGCAGGAATAACAAATTTTACAAAGAAAGTCATATTGAATATCGCTTTGGTATTGTTGGCTAATGCAAGATTTACTGCCCTGTCTTGGGTGGGCCAGGGCGTAAGTGAAAGTTGGGGGAATGAACAAAGGGGCAGGGAGATGTGGCTGGGAGGAGGATGGGATTAGAAGAGAGCTTTGTGGGCCTTTTATTAATAACTATCCTCACAAAGAAACCTTCATGCCAATAACTGCATCTGCTTACAAAATCGTCTCTCTCTGTAAAACGAATTAAACACAAAGAAGGTTAACAAAATGTCCCTGTTGCCGAGTAACCACCATGACAGCGCCACATAACACAAAAGACTTGAGACTCTTGTTTAGTTTACAGAGATATTATTCCCCAACTCTGGCAGAGTAATTATATTTATTGTCTCAGTCATATGCAGGTCTACCATGATTTTAGAATTTTTCAACATTGATATGACCTGTTTTGAGCCCCAAGAGGGTGGGAGTTCCATGAAACTCATTTTCTGCAGTGCTCAGCACCGAGACTCTAGTCAGCATTTGACATGCTGTTGCTTTGAGGTGGAGGGTCTCCTCATGCTACCTTAAATTAGTCTGTTAAAGCTAAAATGAAAGATTGAAATTGATGTGGCAAGGCAGTTTGTCCCCTGTTCTCAAATTGTTCTATTCCACGTTTAGATGGATTTGTTTGGATTTGTTTCAAAAAGGCTCAAGGGCTTAGAAAGTTAGGATAGTTATCTGCTTTTTGATACAATTTCAATTTATTATAAACTGTCCCTCAGAAGAAAGTTGAGAGATTATTTCCTTTGGGGTAAATAATCCTGTTGCTAGTCCATATAAATTCTGTTCCCTCGGCCTTTGCTATCTGACTTCTGTACCTTTTCAATGTCAGGGGTTTTAAATTGTATTATGTTAGTCTACTCTTATAGCATCCTTAGAAAGGAAGTATAATCACCATCTCCATTTTATGTATGGGTTGAGACTACAAGTTTTGCAGACAGTACATAACTTGTTTATGGTCACAGAGCTAATAAGTGCTAGAGTGGTTTTTTAATCCCAGGTGGAGCCTTCATTCTTAACCACTTTATTATATTGTGTTCTTTTTAAAACTGTCTTTCCTTCAACTAGAGCAGCCTCCAGGGAGATGAGGTGGAGAGGGGTGGAGGTGGTTCTCTACCTAATGAAAGTATGAAAAGACAAAAAACTATCAACCTAGAATTCATTTGAAAATGTCTTTCCAAAACTAAGACAAAATAAAGAATTTTTGAGACATATAAAAGATGAAAGAATTCACAACTTGCCCTAAGAAAATGTGAAAGGATGTCCTTCAGGCAGAGAGAAATGATACCAGATAGAAAACTAGACCTGGCCGGGCACGGTGGCTCACGCCTGTAATCCTAGCTCTCTGGGAGGCCGAGGTGGGCGGATTGTTTGAGCTCAGGAGTTCGAAACCAGCCTGAGCAAGAGCGAGACCCCATCTCTACTAAAAATAGAAAGAAATTAATTGGACAACTAAAAATATATAGAAAAAACTAGCCGGGCATGGTAGCGCATGCCTGTAGTCCCAGCTACTCGGGAGGCTGAGGCAGGAGGATCGCTTGAGCCCAGGAGTTTGAGGTTGCTGTGAGCTAGGCTGACGCCACGGCACTCTAGCCCGGGAAACACAGTGAGACTTTGTCTCAAAAAAAAAAAAAAAAAAGAAAAAAGAAAACTAGACCTACACAAATGAACAAAGAACACCAGAAATGTTCACTACATGGGTAAACATGAGAATTTTCCTTGTTATTTAAATCTCTTTAAAAAGATAACTGTTTAAACAAGAATAATAACTGCAGTTTGGGATTTTTAACAAATGTAAAAGTAAAATGTATGACTGTACAGACATGAGTATTAAACAGCAGAGTACTCATGTTTTTTAAGGTGCACATAGAATACTCACTAAGATACACTGTGTTCTGGGCCATTAAACATGCTTCAATACATTTAAAATATTCAAGGCACACAATGGAATTAAATTAGAAAGGAATAACACAAAGATCTTTAGAAAATCTCCAAATTATTTAGATATTAGAAAACATACTTCTAATTTCCCACAATACAAAAGGGAATTTAGAAAGTGTTTTGAACAGAATGTAAATGAAAACACAATATGTCCAACTTTGTGCGATAGAACTAAAGAAGTACATGGGGGGCAATTAATAGAACTAAATGCCTGTATTAGAAAAAAATTGATATACATACAATGGAATACTATTCAGCCTTAAGGAAATTCTGTAATACGTGACAACATGGATGAACCTTGAAGACATTACGCCAAGTGACATGAGCCATCACAGAAAGACAAACACTGAATGATCCCACTGTATAAGGTATATAAAGTAGTTAAACTCATGAATCAAAGAGTGGAATAATGGTTGCCAGGGGCTAAGAGGAGAATAAGAATTACTAATCAGTGGGCATAAAGTTTCAGTCAAGCAAGATGAATAAGTCCTATAGATCTGATATACAACAGTACCTATAGTCAACAATAAGGTAATGTACACTTAAAAATTTGTTAAGTTGGTAGATTTCATGTTAAGTGTTCTTACCACAATGAAATGAATTGAAATAAAACAGTATCAAATCAATGAACTCAACTTCCACATTAATAAACTAGAAAAAGAAGATTAAAGTAAATACAAAATAAGCAGAAGAAAATAATATAGATCAGAGAAGATATTAATTAAATATAATACAAAAAAGAGAAAAAATCAAACACTGGTTTTTTGAAAAGATCAATAAAATGGATAAACCTCTAGTTAGAATGATGAGAAAAAAAAAGACAGAAAACATAAATTACCAATATCAGGAATGGAAAATTCTAAAGATATTAAAAGGACAAGGGAATGTTATGTATAAATTTATGCCAAGAAATTTGATAACTTAGACAAAATGGACAAATTCCTTGAAAGATACATATTACCAAGAATAAATAAGTAGCCTGACTAGCCCTATACCTATTTAAGAAATTAAATTTGTAATTAAAAACTTTCCCATAAAGAAAATTAGAGGCCCAGTGGCCTCACTGGTGAATTCTATCAAATGTTTAAGGAAGAAATAATACCAATCCCACATAAGTTATTCCAGAAAACAGAAGAGGAAGGAGTATTTTCCAATTCATTCTATGAAATCAGTATTACTCTGATACAAAATCAGACAAAGACAGGATTGGTTTTTCCTTTAAAATGAATCAATGCTCAGGTTGAGCATCCCAAATCTGAAATGCTCCAAAACCTGAAACTTTCTGAGCACTCACATACTGCTCAAAAAGAATGCTCATTGCAGTATTTTGAATTTCACATTTTTGGATTTGGGATGCTCAATTGGTAAATATAATGCAAATATTCAAAAATACCAAAAAACCTGAAATCTAAAACACTTCTGGTCCCAAACATTTCAGATAAGGGATATTCAACCTGTAATTCATGATATTAACAAACTAAAACAAAAAGACCATAAGATCTCAATATATTAAGAAAAAGCATTTGACAAAATCCATATCCACTCTCAGTAAAAACTCTAATCAAAGCAGTAGTAGAAGAGAAATTTCTCAACCTGATAAAGGGCATCTTTGAAAAAAAGTCTGCAGCTAACATCATACTTAATTATGAAAGACTGAATACTTTCCTCTTTTTTTTTTTTTTTTTGAGACAGAGTCTCACTGTGTTGCCCGGGCTAGAGTGCCGTGGCGTCATCCTAGCTCACAGCAACCTCAAACTCCTGGGCTCAAGTGATCCTCCTGCCTCAGCCTCCTGAGTAGCTGGGACTACAGGCATGCGCCACCATGCCCGGCTAGTTTTTTCTATATATTTTTAGTTGTCCAATTAATTTCTTTCTATTTTTAGTAGAGACAGGGTCTCGCTCTTGCTCAGGCTGGTTTCGAACTGCTGAGCTCAAACAATCCGCCCGCCTCGGCCTCCCAGAGAGCTAGGATTACAGGCGTGAGCCACCGCACCCAGTCTGAATACTTTCCTCTTAAGAGCAGGTAGAACACTTGGATGTACACTCACACCAACCCTATTCAACATTGAATTGGAGGTTCTAGCCAGGGCAATAAAGCAAGAAAAGATAAATAAATAAAACCATGCAGATTGTAAAGGAAAAGTAAAACTGTCATTATCCGCAGATAGTATAATTGTCTATGTAAAAAATCTGATGGAATCGACAAAAAAGCTTAGCAAGTTTAGCAGATTAAAAGTTTAGCAAGTTTAGAAAGACTACAGAATACAAGATCAAAATGCAAAAATCAAACATAAACTAGCAACGAACAATGGAAAATAGAAATGTTTTAAAAATGCCATTTGCAATAGCAGCAAACCATGAACTACTTTGGGATAATCTGATAAAAGATGTGCAAGACTTGAACACCACAAATTCCAAAATATTGCTTAAAGATTTTGAAGAAGATAAAAGAAAGGAAAGATATAATGATTCCTGGATTGAAAGACTCAATATTTTTAATATGTCAATTCTCCCCCAATTGATCTATAGATTCAATGCAATCCCAATTAAATTCCCAGCAGGCTTTTAAAAAATAGACCCTTTACGATTAACTACTCCAATATATCGCATTCTTTTTAAACTGTCTTGCCTTCAGTTAGAATAGTCCAGCAAAGATTGGGCAGAGATGTTAGATATGGTAGAGAAAATGAATCATTCTCTTTTTATAGATTGGGTAAGGCAATCACAGATGAAACTGAACTGTTCTCCCCAGGGATGGAGAGTTTCCATGGCAACTTTCACAACTGAAAGACTCTCCATAATTATAGCTCTATTGGTGTCTTAGTATTTGAGGCATTCTGTGCTGTACTTACTTCTCTAGTATTAGAGAGATATTGATATATGATGGAACAAAAATCATTTTCTTATTGGTAAGTATTCCATCTATCAGGCTTCTTGCAACTTCCTCGGTCTCCAATACAGGCCATAATCTGTGATTAAAAATTTAAAAAAAAGTTTATTTTTATTTTTTGAAATTTCAATTTTTTTAACGAAGACAGGACAACTAACATATCTTTTCACTAAATTTAGAATTAAGATTTAAAATGGTCCAGGGCTCACTGCATGAATGCCACCCTCCCCCACTTTCTTCACATCCCATGTTGATGTTTTGTTATCACAGTCGTATACTTTCATGTCCAGTAGGTGTGTTTCATGGGTTTCATAGCTCACTCAGTCAAAATATCAAAACCGCGGAGAGTCACTAGATGGGAAAGAGTAGAGGAGCCAGTCAAGAAAGAGGAGCGGGTAGGATTAGTCAGGGGACAGGAGGGAAACACCTGCCATCTCAAGCCCTGTTGGATGCAAGGAGAAAATTCTATAGCTAAGTATATTTTCTTTCTTGCGAAGGTATTCTGTAAAGCTGGGTCGTTTTGAGGCCATGTAGTACTTGAGATTCACCTCTGATTTGCCTACTCCTCAGTTTAATGAGAAAAGATGTGCACAAAGAGCATTACATTATAGCTGGAGGCATTGCCTTCCTTATACTGAAGACTGTGTACATGTATTCTTTTTTTTTTTTTCTTTTTTTTGTTTTGAGACAGAGACTTGCTCTGTTGCCCAGGCTAGAGTGCCGTGGCGTCAGCCTAGCTCACAGCAACCTCAAACTCCTGGGCTCAAGAGATGCCTCTGCCTCAGCCTCCCCAGTAGCTGGGACTACAGGCATGGGCCACCACACCTCGTTCTGGTTATATTTAACATATCAATGTTTTCCAAACTTGCCTCCAGCCTCAGCTGGTATGCTTGCAGAACAAAACAAAACTAAAAAAACATCTCATTCTTGCAGCTCATCCCAGCCTATGAATTAGAATCTTTAATGAAGGGTCTATGAACATGTATTTTTCATGTAAGCACAAGTGGTAATTCTTAGGATCAGGCAACTTTGAAAAATGTTGGAGTACTTTATGTCTGCATTGTGGCCAGTGCTGTGGAAGATATGAAAGGGGCATCTCCCGTACCTTTGCACACTCAATATGAAGAGGGTGAACCACTAATGGGAGACGGAGATGTTAAGTTTCATTCATTCTAGGGGTGCGGTTTTCAGGAGAGGAAACTCTCACTATTCCCTTAAGCACATCTCTCCAGCCCACCCACCCCGTTCCCACTCACTCTTGGCACTTGAGTGTGTGTGTTGAGCCTTTTTCGGACACAAATAACCAGTTGCCTAACTCATTGGTAGCTGATTGTTCCTGCCAGTCCTTAGTGTGTTTTCTTCTCTTTATTCATTTAATTTCAAAGTGAAAACTAAAACCCAATACAATAACATTAATAAGAATTTTTTTTTCCTTTTTCCTTTCATTCTGTTTTCTTAGTTGGCCTGCCTAAAAATTTCTTATATAGTTTCCATATCAATTTCTCATGCCAGATTCCCATCCTACCTTGATTTTGAACTCACCTTGTGCTTGGGTTTTTGGTGAACCCAGTATTGACAAAAACTGGGCAGAGACATGAGGTTTTGATACCAGTTTTTCCCAAGGCTTGAAGTTCCGATGTCAGAGCTCTGTGAAAGCCAACAGCAGCAAATTTGCTGGAACTGTAAGAGAATTATCAACCATCGTTACCTCTGGGACAGTGAAACACAGAGCTCAGCTTTCTGTGACAAGGCAGTAGCATTTGGCTTGAAAACCAGTAGAAGCCAAATCCCTCAAATCAACCACTTGCAATTTTTCTGAGAGACAAAATGGTCATTCATTTTCATTTTCTTATATGATTAACAGAATTGTGAATGTACCCAATTTTTTAACTAGCAATGATATGAAAAGAACAGTCTAATGACTGGCTCAATGTTTACTTTTCCACCCTACATGTAAGGTTTTCCATTCAATCTTCAAACTATTTTCTAATCAGTTTTTTTTTTTTTTTTTTTTTGAGACAGGGTCTCACTCTGTTGCCCGGGCTAGAGTGAGTGCCGTGGCGTCAGCCTAGCTCACAGCAACCTCAAACTCCTGGGCTCCAGCAATCCTCCTCCTGCCTCAGCCTCCCGAGTAGCTGGGACTACAGGCACGTGCCACCATGCCTGCCTAATTTTTTCTGTATGTATATATTTTTAGCTGTCCAGATCATTTCTTTCTATTTTTTCAGGCTGGTCTCGAACTCCTGACCTTGAGCGATCCACCCGCCTCAGCCTCCCAGAGTGCTAGGATTACAGGTGTGAGCCACCGCACCCAGCCCTCTAATCAGTTTTTATTGCTGCTTTTATTTTGAAAAATATGAATCAGGAAAATCATATTTATAAAAACTATAAAACTAGTATCTGTATTGACAAACTTCTGTGGGATTCTGCACATTTCTCCTCTCTTGATAACTGAGTGGATAGTTTCTCTCTTGACAATGGTTGCCACTTTGGCTTCTAAATTTCATTATGAGGATTGGAGAAGCATTTACAAGGAAAGGCTATTTTGCAAATACAGTGGTATATCTTTGAGGCCTCCCACATTCTTCCCTTAATGTCTTTGATGGGGGCATGGAGTGTGGTATCTGCATCTTTTAATCGGAGAGAGGTTCTCTCTTTCTTTCTATTTCTCTCTCTCTCTTACACACACACACACACACACACACACACACAGGCATGCAGATACACACACGTGAACCTTCATAGCACGAGCACACTGGGAAATGTTTTGATCCAGGGGTCACTCTGGTTGGCTTAGGCGCCCAGGCCATGACATAGATTTGTGTTCATTCTAGCTTCTGTATGTTTTGCTCCTTAGTCTGTGGATTTTCTGTTTCTTTTACCAGCATCTACTCATTCCAGGATACAGTGGAAATATGCTTGACATTACTGTTTTCTTTCATTGCTCTACAGGGGAGTTTTCGGAAATCTAAAAATATTTTAAATGTAATTACAACTAGTATCATTGTTTCAGAAAAAGTCATTTATAATTTTTATTCCGAACTATATATATAACTTCTGCAAATCCAAATTATCCTGCTATAAGCATAGGGATCTAAAAATCTAATTCCCTTAAATATATACAAATATAAAGACAAATACGTAACATTGCAAGCAAGTGATACTTACCAATATGGGATGAGATAAGGGATTACTCCGTGGCCGCACACGGAAGCCACTGTGACAATGTGGCCATGATTTCTCCTCATCATTGATGGAAGAAGTGCTTTTGTGATCTTAAGGATCATTGCAGAAGGAAGAGAAACAAGGACATAGGCGTTAGTTCTCCAAATCAGGTTGTTTTATTCTTGTTAAGATAGAATGGCATTCGAGAGAACTTGTACACTGAAATTAAACACTTGCCAAAATTCTCTGATTATGTGATACAAATGATAGAAAGAAAAAAGACAAAATGTTGTTGATTTGAGCTGGCATTGAGTGCTGTGCACTGTATTTCATATGCCAACACCCATCTTAGTATTCTCTCTTCAGAAGGAATCAAATATATGTCATCTAAACAATATTAAGGAAAAAATTCAGAATTTTCATTGCTGAAAATAATTCCCTATGATAATCTAGTGTCATGTAATTTTTTTGGTTTGGGGCTTTATCATTCTAATTAGAAGAGTGAAATCTTGTGTACCTGTGTCAAAACAGTTGAGTAGTTGAATAGTGTAAACTAAGAGTTCTTTACTGATCCACAATCCTTAAGCACCATTAGATTCAGTATCTCTCTATTTGTAATATTGTGTATTATATGATGTTACAGGAAACAAAAGTCTTTCTTTTCCTCCAAAAAGCTCAATAAAATTTTATGAGAATTTTATAAACTCATCCTTATAGACCCTATGCAAATTCATAGGGCCAGAATTGCCAATTCAAGACACCTTCAAAGTCCTAATCCACAAAAATTGTGCAAGGATAATGAACATTTATCATTGCTTTAAACCACTAAGTTTTGGTCTAATTTGTTACGCAGCTATAGATAAGGCATATATTAGTATACTAATACAAGAGGTCTTCACATAGTTTGGTGGGCATGATAATGAATTCACATTAGCGTGTGTGAGGGGCTGGTGAAGGTAGGGGGGCACATTTCTTCCAGAATCTAGATTTGCCTCTGGTTCCACATTAATATCGGAGCACTGGAAGTTTAATTCATAAAATTCTCTTTACAGAGGCAGTTGAAATTATTATTAATATTTCAGTCTCTCACAAAACTAACCAATTATATGAAGTCTGTAGAGCCACACTGCTCAGTTCTAGTACCCCATGGATCTAGAACTTGTCTCAGAGTCCGATCCAGAAATGTCCCCAACCCTGCATGTATCCAATTAGTTCTGATGTCCTTTCAGTTCTAAAATTCCATGAAATGAGGTCACAAGTGAATGCGTGTCATATATATTTCCTCCAAAGCATTGAAAAAATATATACTTACAACCCCCAATGAACCTCCACAATTTGTTGAGTGCCTGGTACAGGCCAGGCTTTGTGTTAGATACTGGTTGATAAGACAGATCAAGTGGCTTCCGTTCTGGAGTGTTGTGTCCACTTGAACTCTGCACCCTTCTCTCGTAGACTCTGTGGCTTTTCTACAAATTTGATGATGATTATTTTTTTTTTTTTTTTTGAGACAGAGTCTCGCTCTGTGGCCCTGGCTAGAGTGCTGTGGCATCAGCCTAGCTCACAGCAACCTCAAACTCCTGGGCTTAAGCAATCCTTCTGCCTCAGCCTCCCGAGTAGCTGGGACTACAGGCATGCTGCTTAATTTTTTCTATATATATTTTTAGTTGTCCAGCTAATTTCTTTCTATTTTTAATAGAGACGGGGTCTCACTCTTGTTCAGGCTGGTCTCAAACTCCTGACCTCGAGGGATCCTCCCGCCTCGGCCTCCCAGAGTGTTAGGATTATAGGCATGAGCCACTGCGCCTGGCAGATGATTCTTGATTTAAGGCAAAGATCTGGCCAGTTTCCCGCCCAGAAGTATGTGAACTCAATTATAAATCTCATGTACCTTAAGAGAAGGTGTCAAACGTGCACAAATCTAGAAATATTTCTCTCACCCGAATATACACTCACCCAAAAATGTCCTAGGATGTTGACCTCAAACGTTTTGGCAATCTCTTCATCCTTGGTACTCAGAAGATCGGCTGGATATATTGCCCCAGCATTATTAACCACGATGGTTACATCACCCACTTCTTTCTTCACCTTTTGAAATTGAAAGAACACATTCATTGGGTGTATTATACAAACTCAAAGTTTTAGGGCCGATATCATCCAGGGATTATAGTCTTTTTTCTCCTGGGAAGGTCTCTCAGAGTTCAGGCACGAAGAACTTCTAGCTCCAATAGCGAATGCCAAGGGAACACTGTCAAAAGGTGGGCTCAGCTGGTTTTTTGTTAATGTCTAAATTTCAGTCCCCAGTACATCATAGATTTTTAAAGTTTATCAGTAAAGTGAAATTAATATTTGTTTTGATAAATTGATACGTAAATTCTGACCAGATATTTTTAAAGTGCTGATTGAGTAATCCTGGTTCAACCACCTATCAGGTACATGACCTTGGTATGGCTTAATCTCTCTAAGCCTTAATTTGTTTATCTGTAAAATGAGGTTTATAGGGTTATTGTAGGGATTAAATTTAAAAATGCAATAGTTTGTTGGAGTGCTTGATTGATTGTGAGCATTTGTTTTTACTCTTTTAAAAAATTGTTATAATAATTATTAATGTTATATTTTCTACAGAAGACTAGATTAGCACCAAAATAAATAAAATCTCACAAAGGAAATAAAAAAAGGAATTACTGCAAAACTAATAGGACTGAAACAAAACTAGAAAGTGATCTGTTTTCCCTGGTGATAAATGTTCTGTCAGTCACTCTGCCACTGCTCAAAATTCTGATCAGAATCAAACTGATTAATAACATGAAACAATAATAATGAGCAGAGCTGAGTGGACTGTATATAAGAAAAAAAGTACATATCCTGTCTCGGTCACAAAATGACTTTGGTTAGCAGCGGCTAAAATCTAATTTAAATCAGGCAGTCATGAAGAACCTTTTCATTTTCCATGTCAGTGCTAGTGGATACAAAATCATCTGAAGAAATTTGTGACCTGAAGTCTCACCTGATTTACAGAGCTGTAAATCTCTTCTCTGTTACTGCAGTCTACGACAAACACATGCGCCGTGGCCCCTAGTTTTCGGCATTCAGCTGCAGTTTCCTCAACACCATGCTGTAATTGGAGAAAACAAATTCAGAAAAGAGTGGCGGAGAAAGCATTGGAGAAGAAAATTTTTAAAAGGTTAACATTCATGTCCTATATCCCTCCTTATTTGTAAGAAAATTGCATGAGAGAGACCGCTTGCCTAATTTGCAGTGAGATTATACCTGGCTTTTCTGCCAGGCAATGCTCATATGAGTACCAAAGTAACAAAACAGAAATAACAAAAAAAAAATCCCTTCATGTTTTTCCAGCTTTTCATCTTGGTTTTGGAGGTTCTCCAGTAGGCATTTTCTCTAAAGCAGGCTACTTTTGTAGCTTAAAGAACATTCTTGAAAGGTGTTGCTCTTTGTGGTGTCATGGAAGATATTTGAGTATGGAGAAGAAAGGCAAACTCAACAATTATTATAATTTCACACACATTTATTGAGCACCAACTATGTGATAGGCAGGAAAGGGTTAAGTAGCAACTCTAAATTAGTGGCAATTTTATTTTATTTTATTTTTTAAAAAAAGACAGAGTCTCACTCTTGCTCAGGGTGGTCTCAAACTCCTGACCTTAAGTGATCCTCTGGCCTTGGCCTCCCAGAGTGCCAGGATTATAGGCATGAGCCACCGCACCCAGCCTACCAGTGATATTTTTAAACTACATGTCGCTGCCCATCAACCTTTCTTGATGATTCTGCTTTATCTCTCTAGGAGAGAAGGAGAAAGAAGGATTCTTATTTGAGAAAGACTTTCACAGGGAGACCAGGCTACTACTCCAGGGGATACAATATTATATTCTGCAGGTGTTTGGGAGTGAAAATGGGCAAGGGCCACTGGATGGATTTGCATTTATGTGACAACTTTGCACAGAACTCTACAGAGCAAGTTACTTTCAGCCTGAATTCAAAGACCTCTTTCCTAAGATAAAATTGCCCTGATATTTCTTGACCTGCATTTCTGGAAAATTAGAATTATTTTCAAGTTTTGACATCTGTTGACTTTTAGAGAAGATTATAAAGTTTTAAAAATTATGCTTTTTCCTCCCATGATCTGTAAACTCTTCTCTGTGATTAAGAGACAAGGATATCTGAAGAGCGATTTTCTTTGCATATTGGGATGATGGTGGTGTTGCTGTTCCTTGGGGCAATCCCTGAGTGAGTGGTCAGGTGGTGCCTTCCCTGGGCCCTTTGTAGTTCACTACTGTGGGCTAAACCCTGGAGCAGCAGCCTGAAATCCCAAACAACAGACTTTGACAGACATCAGGACCCAGTCGCAAAGCCAGTGTCCCTTCAATTACCCTTTTAGGGGATTGCTGAGAAACAAAAAGATGGAAGAGTCTTTTACGGATTTAGGCTTCTGCTGGTAGCTTGCTCTCTCCCAGATTACACAAACCACTGCATACTATCTCTTTAGTCTCTAGATTCAAGGTCTGTGGAGAGTATTAGTAACCAGAGCTTTCATCAGATACTTTCACTGAAGAATTACAAAAGCTTCTGTCTTGTAACGGAGCGGAAAATGTAACGCCTTGTCTTTTCATAAGTGAGATGCTTGCTTTAGCTTCAGCTGCAGTGTGCGTTGTTTACTCCATTTATCTCTGTGTTCCTAAAGCAACGGTTTAGATTGAATGAGGGCCAAACTGCTAATGTTTAACCGTAAAATTCAAGGATTCAAAGAGAACTTGGAAGGTTGGGTTGCCCATCTCTCAGGTAGAATCTTTTTTTTTTTTTGAGACAGAGTCTCACTCTGTTGCCCAGGCTAGAGTGCCGTGGCGTCAGCCTAGCTCACAGCAACCTCAAACTCCTGGGCTCAAGCGATCCTCCTGCCTCTGCCTCCCGAGTAGCTGGGACTACAGGCATGCGCCACCATGCCTGGCTAATTTTTTTTCTAGTTTTAGTAGAGACGGGGTCTCGCTCTTGCTCAGGCTGTCTCGAACCCCTGACCTCAAGTGATTCTCCTGCCTCGGCCTCCCCCAGAGTGCTAGGATTACAGGCGTGAGCCACCATGCTCGGCCCCCCGAGTCTTTGTTATCAACCTGCACACCATGGCATAAAAATCACTGCTTAGGTCTCAGTTAAGTTCCCTTCATTTACCAACTTGATGCATATCTGGAAGGCAGCTCCATGGAACTGATCAAACTTTGAAAAAAGGAAAATACAAAGATAAGCAGATTCTAAATCAAATAATTTTTAAAAGACATTTCTTACATTGTGACTTTAAAAGGTTGTCAGATGTATATATTACCTTATTAATATCCCACAGAACCAGTCTGCTCCGCCGTTTTGCAAATTCGTAGGCAGTCAGCCTGCCTATTCCGTGCCCAGCTCCGGTAACGAGGACGATCTCCCCAGCCACAGATTTTCTCCTCTGGGGAATGAAAAACTTCACCAGTGACTCCAAGTAGGAGTAGATGATGGTGATCAGAAGCAGGAGGAGATCCAAGACAACGTTCATGGCTCTGTGCTGTCCCTTCCTTCTGGCTCAATCCTCGTATAGTCCTGGGCCAGAGACACCCTCTGCACAGAGCGCCAGGGGAGAGCTGTGCTCAGGAGTTAGTGGGATTCTCAAACAGAAGCTGGTTGCGGAGGCAGACCTTGTCCACGTGCCCTAATGAGTTGAAACACCTTGGTTTTGAAGTGATGCCAGCTGCCAGCAGTAGCTTAGCTCAGGTCAAAAGAGCCCAAGAGAAGGTGCCCTCTGAACTTGCTTATCTGAAAAGCTATTGTGTGTTATATTTCACCTTGAAGTTTCACCTCGAGAAATAATTCTGGAGATGTTGAATTAGCTAATGATATGTTGGTATCTTCTATAAACTGTTTCTTTTTGGTGTTTTTTTAAAATAGGGAAAAGGAGAAAGTAGAGGTATTATCTCAGAGAAACTTGAATAAAATATAGGTCAACCGAGCTTAGATCTTGGATTCATTTATTCACGAAAGCTCAACATCAATATTCAGCTGGCTAATCATTTTACAGATGATGCCAATTTCCCTGAAAATCTCTTGAATTTGAGGGAGATTTTCAGTTATAAAACAATCAGTTCCCTTTCTGATAAGATTGGAAAAGCATTAGACCAGAAGTCGGAAGTCTCAACTTAAAAGTGATACATCTTCCGTCTTAGTCAATTCAGGCTGCTATAACAAATTACCACAGACCAAGTGGTTTATAGACTACAGGAATTTATTTCTTACAGTTATGGAGGCTATGAAGTCCAAGATCAAGGCGCTGGCAGATTTCTTGCCTGGTAAAAATTGGCTTCCTGGTTTATAGATGACTGGCTTTTCACTATAACCTCACGCAGCTGAAGGAGGAAGGCACGCCAGAGCCCTCATGCCCAATCACCCTTCGAAGACATCACTCCCTGAACTATCTATCACATGGGGGGGTTAGGATTTTATAATATGAATTTTGGAGGAACACATTCAGTCTATAGCAAATTCCAGTAGTCAAAAAGTGGAAACGACCCAAGCGTTCATCAACAGATGACTGAATAAGCAAATATGATATATACACACACAATGAAATATTATCCAGCCTTAGAAAGGAAGGAAATTCTCACACACGCTACAGCGTGGATGAACCTCAAAGACATTATGCTAAGTGAAATAAACCAGACACAAAAATACAAATATTGTATTGCTTCCATTTATATGAAGTGCCTAGAGTAGTCAAATGCATAGCGACAGAATGCAGTATTGTGGTTGCTAATGAGTGGGGGGAAGGAGAATGGGGAGTTATTGTTTAATGGGTACAGAATTTCAGTTTGGGATGATGAAGGTTCTGGAGATGGATGGTGGTGATAGTTGCACAACAATGTGAATATACTTAATACTGCTGAACTGCACATTTAAAAATAGTTAAAATGGTAAATTTTATGTTACATATGTATGACTTCAGGCAATCCTATTTATTTTCTCTGTGCTAAAGTTTCCTTATCTGAAAAACAGAAATAAAAATAAAGCTTGCATCATCCAACACATAACACATAACGACCTCAACCTTCCCTCACCCATTCAAACACAAAGTGGTTATGAACATCAAATGAGACAGCATGTTTATGAAATGGCTTTGCAAGTAGTAAATGGTTATATAAATCAAATAATAGTAGTTTGAATTTATTAGTCTTTTACTATATGTCATGGACTGATTTAAGGACTTTGCATATACACTTATTTAATCCTCACAAGAACATGTGAAGTAGGTACTATTAAAATCTTCATTGTGCAGATGAGGAAACTGACATATAGGCAACTTAAGTAACTTAGCTGTAAGAGTAAAGTCACATAGCTGATAAGAGGTGGACTGAGGATTTAAACCCAGGAAGTTTCACATATATAATCCCAGCACTTTGGGAGGCTGAAATGGGAAGGTCGCTTGAGGCCAGAAGTTCAAGACCAGCCTGAGCGACATAGTGAGACCCCATCTCTAACAAAACAAAACAACAAAAAACAAAAGCCAAAAATAAACCCAAGAAGTCTGATTCTGGAGCCCCGACTTTTAACTTAGGCCAGTGGCTCTCAACTAGAATAACTTTTGTCCCACCGGCTACATTTGGGCATGTCTGGAGACATTTTTGGTTGTCAAAATTCGTGCATGTTACTGGCATCTAGTGGGTAGAGGCCAGGGATGCTGCTAAACATCTTAAAATACGTAGAACAGCCCTGTGCATTAAAACAAAGAATTTTCCAGCCAAAAATGTTAGTAGTGCTGAGGTTGAGACACTTTGACCTGGGCTATACTATATTGCATTGGAGAGAGCATAACTGGTTCTTTAAGTTTGAACCTTGAGTGTATTTATGAAAGAGCACTTGACTATATCATTCTGCATGCAAACTGTCGGCGACGTTTACATGGAACCGTTAGATATTAACATAGGTGGTTTAGATCAGATCTCATGTTGGGCTGCAATGCAGGAATCTGTTTTCAGGTTGAACGTCTATAACTTCAATATTCAGCTTGCTTAGAGTGGGCCAGATAAGAGGACTCACACCAGTTAAATCCATACGTTACTGATATACTTCTGAAAGGCAGTTTTCAAATTTACAGTGGGATCTAGATTATTTTACTTACAGGGCTATTTGTATTATCCAAGAATTAACAAACTTTGAGAAAGTGAAAAATGCTTATTTAACATTGTTCTCAAATAGTTTGGGTGCTGAGAAATTTTATTCAGCCTATGGGATAACCTGGTGAATTCTCTTTTTGTTTTTTTGCTTGTTTTCTAGGGGCCAGAATGTTCATGTTCCTCAAATACAGGATTCTATTTGCCTCAACAATGCTAGAAACATACAATCTGCCGCTTGATTTTTTCCCTCTAAACTTTAGAGATTTTTTGTTCGTATGTCTTTATGACTTCACTGGCTTCATTTCAACATATTTTCGTAACAAAAACATTTAGTTTACTCTGATCACATTTTAGATCTGTTGTTTCCTACTGATATGAATGAAGCACTCTGAATTAATCATTAATTTGTCTTCATCTCACAGTTTAGGATGAGATTCTTCCAGTAAAATTTTCTCAACTAAGCTAAAACAATTCATAGCATTTAGACTCTTGTTAAACTGAAATACTTTCTTAACTTTGTTTTTCTTTTAGCTTTCATTAATTTCCCTCTTGAGAGCCATCTGCCTATCAGTTTTAGAAATGTAATTATCTTTACAAAGGTAAGAATAATTATCTTTGTATAGGTAATAACCAGGAAAAAGGTGGAACAGGGTAACTAGAAGATTTGTAATTTGGAGCGTAGGTGATAATGATATTAACATTAATAATAGCATGTATATAGCAAAGAAAAGTGAAGGAAAAAGGGAACGCGTGAGAGAACACCGGCAGGAGTATCATTCAAGTGGATTTTACCTTCAGAATAGAGCCATTCCTGGGTCACTTGCACACTATAGAGTTCAGAGGAGTTGATATGGTATGATATTGTTACCGAAAGTTTGGTACTTGTCCCCAAGGCCGAGTCGGTGAGAACGAAGAATGAAGACAAGTGCTTTGAAGAAAAGGAAAGAGAAGTTTATTAATTTGCCAACAAATGAGGAGGGTGGTAGAATAGCGTCTCAAGAGACCTCCATCCTGGTCGCTCTCAAACGCCAGCGCCGCCTCTCGCTCGCCGAGCTCCAGCCGAAGGAGAAGGGAGTAAGTAAGGAGGTCTTTATACCATGGCTCGTACAAAGCAGACTGCCCGCAAATCGACCGGTGGTAAAGCACCCAGGAAGCAACTGGCTACAAAAGCCGCTCGCAAGAGTGCGCCCTCTACTGGAGGGGTGAAGAAACCTCATCGCTACAGGCCTGGTACAGTGGCACTCCGTGAAATTAGACGTTATCAGAAGTCCACTGAACTTCTGATTCGCAAACTTCCTTTCCAGCGTCTGGTGCGAGAAATTGCTCAGGACTTCAAAACAGATCTGTGCTTCCAGAGCGCAGCTATTGGTGCTTTGCAGGAGGCAAGTGAGGCCTATCTGGTTGGCCTTTTTGAAGACACCAATGTGTGTGCTATCCATGCCAAACGTGTAACAGTTATGCCAAAAGACATCCAGCTAGCACGCCGCATACGTGGAGAACGTGCTTAAGAATCCACTACGATGGGAAAATATTTCATTCTCAAAAAAAAAAAAATTCTCTTCTTCCTGTTATTGGTAGTTCTGAACGTTAGATATTTTTTTTTTTCCCATGGGGTCAAAAGGTACCTAAGTATATGATTTCAAGTGGAAAAATAGGGGTCAGAAATCAGGTATTGGCAGTTTTTCCATTTTCATTTGTGTGTGAATTTTTAATATAAATGCGGGGATGTGAAGCATTAATGCAAGTCAAATGTTTCAGTGAACAAGTTTCAGCAGTTCAACTTTATAACAATTATAAATAAACCTGCTAAATTTTTCTGGACAATGCCAGCATTTGGATTTTTTTAAAACAAGTAAATTTCTTATTGACGGCAACTAAATGGTGTTTGTAGCATTTTTACCATACAGTAGATTCCATCCATTCACTATACTTTTCTAACTGAGTTGTCCTACATGCAAGTACATGTTTTTAATGTTGTCTGTCTTCTGTGCTGTTCCTGTAAGTTTGCTATTAAAATACATTAAACTATAAAAAAAAAAAAAAAGACCTCCGTCCTGCCTGTAAGCAGAAAAACAGGGTGGTTTTTCAGCAGTTGGGCTCTATGTGACTGAGGGTGTCAAATGTCTTGGTTTTGGGCTATTGTTGTTTAACTACAGTTGGTTTCCATCGATCTTATCTCCTGTGACATGATCTTGTGACCCTTGGACAATTCTGTTGCGCTATCTCCTATCTGTTGTTTAATAAAACAAACAGCAAAGAACATTTTCCTGCCCCTTTGCTTACTGGCCTGCAGGTTTTAATTCCCCAAAAGAGTGGGTTTTTTTTTTAAAGAGACAACTTGTAAAACATTTTGTTGCCCTTTTTCAGATCTTTACCTCTGTTACAATATTGTAATTTATGGAGGGTGGGAGATATTTGTGGTGAAAAAAAGGTCAACACTAAGCCATCATTTCTTTGGAGACCATAAAATGAGGAAGTTATGGCATCTGTGCACATTACTTTAATACACTGTGTGTTTAGGCTAATTATATAATAGTAATCTGACGAGTAGAGGATTAGGAATATAATCTCTTCAAATAAATACTCTTTTTCTTTTCCTTTCTATGGGGGATGCTCATTAGTTCACTGTCAAGGGTTCTATGTACTGCCAAACTGATAAAGTAGTATTAGGTATTCTTAAAGGACATATAAACCTCTCCTTGAGGCTCCAAAACCCCTATCCAAACATACAAAACCCAAACTCACATTTCATGGAGAGCTTCAGCATGTATTGGTTTATAACCCCTTGATTCATCACTACATACCAACCCCACTTCTTTCCCTGTAGTAACAGAGTCATGATCTCTGCAGTATGGTTCTCAACCTTTCTTTCCTTGTTACCCTAATTCTTCTTCTTTCTCTATTAATTCCAATCTCTTCCTGCCTGGAGAAGCTGTCTCTTTCACCTTCACATATTTTTAGATCTTTCCCATTGTAAAAAAAGATGAAAAGAAACCATCCTGTCTTCCATATTTTACTGTCAAATTAACCTATGGTGATTATCTCTATTTTCTGGCAACCTGTCTCCCAGGGAGGGCAGAATTCTCTTGTCCCTGCACTGTCTAGCTTGTGCAGAGGCTTGGACAGAGCTAAGAATGATGGACAGCAGGAGCTCACGGGGAGGGCAAGTCGTCAAGTCCTGAGGATGGGGGTGGCCGGGTATTGTGGGTAATTGTGGGAACAAAAGGCTGGATTACATATGGCCTTGTAAGTCATGGTAAGGACTTTAGCTTTAAGTTTTAGATAAGAAGCTAACAGAGGATTTTGAGTGGAAGCATGACAGGATGTCGTATTTTAAAGAATCATTCTGGCTACTGTGTTGAGAATAACACAAAGGGGAACAGAGGTGTTGGTGGCTTGGATCACAGTCATAGCAGCGGGGGTAGTTGATAGAATTCTGGATATATTTTCAAGGTAGAGCAAACAGAATTATTTTTGTAATGAATGTGGGGAAGGGGAGAGAGGAATCAAGGATAACACTGGATTTTTTGGCCAGAGCAACTGGAATAATAGGGTTTGGGATAGGTTTGGGATAACGTCAGAGGCTCAGTTTTGGTGATATTAACCTTGAAATGCCTGTTGGCCATACAGGTGGAGATATCAAGAAGGCATTTACATATGTCTGGAGGTCAGAGGAGAGATCCAGGCTGGAAATATAAATGTGGGAATGGCGATTGATACTGAATGTGCATGGTGGGGATTAGAGGATTTTGGTGAGGTGAGGGAAAGGAAACAGGCCGGAGTAACTCCAAGTTTTTGGTCTGGGCACTTGGGCACTTGGCACTTGTTGGAAGTGCCATTTTCTGTTGGGGAACACAGATGGCCTAGAGAAGAAGCTATATTTTGCATATGGTGTCCTTAAGACATTTATGCAACTGGAACTGGAGATAATCTAGGAGATTATACAGTCTAATTTAATCCTTTTATAGGTGAGGAAACTGAAGTTCCAGAACAGCTAGCTCTCCTGGATTGCCCAGTGCTCTTTCCACAGTACTAAGGCACCTGTAATTACGGGGAAGGCATGAAACTAACAGACACAGTTCCCTAATTCCGGGCTTGGCCCTGTCCTCCCCAGACACAAAAAGTTTTGAGTGATCATTTTGGCTCTAAGCTCAAGGGGGAATTCCTATCTATTCCTATCTATTCTTCCTTGGGGAAGAATTTGGTGTCCACTGTGGATTAAAACTCTCCCGACGCTGACCTATATTTTCACACTTCAGCATTTTAATTTCAGGAAACTTTAGACTGTGGTGACATAGGGCCAGGCCAGGCTGGACCTTTTTCAGGAGGAATAACTGGGCATCTACATTGTAGCATTGTATTCTACTTTAAAATAATTCCTAGGTTGAATAGTTTCAATTGCCATCAGAGGTTTCTATTGGCTGATTTTGGAATATTGTTTGAATTCCAAGGAAAACTTGGGCAAAAAAAATTAGAGGGTGTTTAGGGCAATAATTCAACTCTCTTAGAATTCCATGAGGCTGTATGATGGTAAGGTCAGTAAGCCGGAGGTCAAGTTTTCAGTTTGATCTTTAGCTGTGGGATTTTAGGTAAGTTGTTTAGCCTTTCTGGGCTATCATTATCTCATCGATAAAATGGGAATAATGATGTCTACCGCACAGAATTGTCCACAGGAGTAATGCTCTTAATTGTTCCCTCTCCACAATAAAATCCCTTTAGCCTTTAGCCAAGTCAGTGTTGAAGATGTACTGGGGGTCAATTTCAACCCTTTTACCCGCCTAATTCCCCACTCTTTTTAATCCTCATTCCCAATAAAAAGACCAGATTTCTGGCAAATGACAATGGTGGCATAGACGGAGGTGAGGAAGAGTATTTTTGAAGGCAGGCATGGGAATGTTCTCAAGGGAATAGAAGAGAGGCCAGGGAGTCCCAGCTGAGTCTGAGCAGTCCCATGGCAGGGCCCCAGGGTGACAGTGAGGTCTCAGAGGAAGGCTCTGGGGTTTGTCCAGGGAGGCTGGTTCCCTGCCGCAGTCAGGATTTCTGTACATTGCAGAGATCCATTTGTCATCAAGGGATCCCCTGGTTTAGGACCACAGAGTATCCTGATCGTCGACAGGATTCTTTCCCCATTTACCTGAAGACAACCTAAGGCTCTTTGATTCTGGCGGGTCCTTCAGAAGTAGCCCTATTCACGACTGAGATGGATTTTCCCACCAATCTGTTGAGAAGTGAGTTCAGAGTCAGGATTAACTTCATTCAAATGACATTTACAAGTTTTCAGACTTTGAGTCTCAGGAGTAATTGCCTGATGTCGGTGAATTAGAGTGAGTTTTTAAAAAAAAAAAATGCAGAGAACAAAATTCAAAATCCCCACGGTACTATATTCATTCACCTTTCCTGCAGAGTGAGGGCTCCAGGCTCAAAGGTTCTTCTTCTGGGTTCCTGCTACTGCTGCTGTGCTCACAGCTGCTTCAAGGCCTGCGAACGATGCCTGCTGCATAGGATCCCTGTGGGATTAAATGGTCAACTGTTCCCGGCACATGATTGACATTCAATACATGGGACGGACCACCATTCTGCCAGCATCATCTCCAAAGAAGGGATGCTTATTTCTCATAATGGTTAATGCCAAAGTTCATTCAAGTTTTAATTTCTGACAAGCATTTTAGGAGCCAAAATATGGTCTTTGGGAAAAGGGAAAAGTTATCAGTATACTTTGGTGGGTTTCAATTCACTTACTGAAATTCCTTAAAGGCTTTCTCCAAGTCTACTTCACTGGCAGGTGGCCGGCAAGCTGGAACAGGTATAACTTAATCAGAAGAATAAACAATTAAATATATTTTAAAGTGAGTGAGAAGCTGATGAGAACAGGCTCTCCACTTTCTAGCGCCATTCTCTGCTATCAGGGTGAGTGTTTAAGGAAATCTATAAATTCTGTGGCTATTTAACCTTAGAGTGCTACTATAGTATGGCTGATGTATGGAGAAGAATCTGTTACATTATTCAAATATAATGTTTTGGAAAGCAAGAATTTTGGACTCAGATATGTATTTGCATCAACTAGTTGCAGAATATAGTCCAACAGCAATTGTATTTTGATTCTCTGTATTAGAAGAAGGTAATGGATGGGAAAGAGGGAGAATTTATCGTAGGAACCATGCCTTCTGAGAAATTGTCTGATCTGTTACAGAATCGATAGCGTGACCTTCCTTAAAGAGATTATCATATAATCCTTATAATCTGCAGTGGCACTGATGAGACTACTTGCTGAATGAGCGAATTAATGTAAGTCAAGTGTTTAGGACGACAGGTGACACATGTTGAATAAATATTAGTTTTTGCTTAGAATCTGGATCAAAATCTTTCCCCATGAAAGCTTCTGAATCTAAATGCATCTCATTTGCTACATTTCATAGGGACCAGCGACTCTGCCTTGTGTGTTTTCTGAGTATGAACTTTCTAAGATAAAGATTAAAGTTTCACTTTATATTTATGTCCGAAATAGTCTTGAAAATATTTTTCTTTAATAGAAATCCAAGAAACCTACTTATATTTTCAATTTATAGATCTGATTTTATAGTCTCGTCTTACTGAGCTTCACATCCAAGAAATTTCCAGACACTTAAAAATAAAAACACCTTTGATTACATAATCCACTTTCCTTTAATTGGAAGGTTAAGCCATGTTCTGTTTAAGATACAAAGATGGAAACACCAAGTGTTAAAGTTTGATCCATTTATTATTATTGCCATTTATGGGTACATTCTCCCAATTCTCCGCCTTAAATCCCAGTGATGCTTTTATTCTTGTAACACGTGTCCATGTCTAGTTTCCTTGTGCTGCAGTGTTTGGCATTGGAACGTGAGGTATCTCCCAGGAAACAGAGTGGTAACGTATAGGATGAAATGTTCGAGAGATCATGAAATTCATTGTGAAATGCCCCTAGACACAGTCCTTCATTATATTTAGAGAGCTTGAAGTTTCTTATTTTATGTAGAATAGAAAAGAAAATGTGAATTATATAAAATTTAAGTACAATTAAAAATAAAAATATATCTTAAAGAAACATTCATAGTACAAATTTTGCAAAGCCTTCATATGAACCACAAAGTCCTGGAAATGATCTTAATAAAATTGTTTTTGTTCTTTTTCCTCATTTTCCTTCAAGTCAACATCAAGATATTTCTGTTTGTATTATATGTCATCAGCTTTTAGCTAAAGAACAAACAAGTAATAATAAATAAGGATCGACAGAGCCTCAAAAAGTGATATTGAAAGAAAAAGGATAATTAGTAAAAACAAAAGTCCAAACATTCAAATTCTGATTAATGCTAGATAAAATCAACTTAAACCTGGTAAGTCGGTTTTCAGAAGACTTACTGCCCTTTACTTTTATATCCAATGACTGCATCAAACCTAACATTGATCTTTTGTTTTAAAACTGCCAGGAAACGTTCAGGAAGAACCCTAAAAGAAAGATACATGAAAATAATTAGGAAATTAATATTAAGTGCATTTGTAAAATACCTTCTTTAAAAATATTTGTATTTAATTTTTCACGTATCATGTCATGCTCATCTTAAACAAGATTAAGAACTTTAACACTAAGTTGCTACTATGCATTCTTTACGATGAATTCCATTTCCTTTTCAAAAGGAAAAGAAAGGAGGTGTCACTTTGTTTAGGGTAGGAGTGACCTGAAATACTTAGTTTTTAAAATAAATATATTCTTACATTTTTTCAAAAGATCTAAGAGAGGAGGGTGTACAGAACTGAACAGTTGAGATACTAAAGGGTTTTTTTTAAAAAAAGAAACCTGATGTTGAAAAGGCAGTGAGAATAGGAGCTAATTTTACACTTTATAATCCAGAATATAATATTCTTAAAACATTCCACAAAGAGAGCAAGGAAGTAGAATTGCTAAATGAAAATGCAGACATCACATTTGGTTTTGGGCACAATGCTGAACAAGTTATTTCACCTTTGAGTTTAAATTCCTCATATCTAAATGGAAAAATTAACACCTATCCAGTAGTGTTCTTACGGGGAATCAATGTGTTAATGTAAAATGCCTTGAACAGTGAGGGACACTAGTAGGTCTCATCTTTTTTCTCCTAACTCTCCACTTAAGAATATTTAGAAACTTGTCACATTCCAACAGAAATGTGTAAGTCAGTGTGATGATACAGAGATCTGCCTAGATGGCATTAAAATAGAGTTTGGAAATTGAACACCAAACACTCACAGTCAGAGGAAATTAGGGCAATGATAATCATAGTAGTAGTTAATAATGATGGTAGTGATAGTGGTATATAACACTTACTGAGTACTTACAACGTACTGAGTCCTTTAAATGCATTATTTCATTTATGTCTCTCAGCCCTACAAAGTCTTATTGCTGTCTCCATGTTATGGATGAAGGAACAGAACTTAAAGAAGTTAAATAACTCATCTATATTCATGTTTCAAGCAAGTCACATAAACATAGCATTCAACTCCAAAGCACAAGCTTTTGGGTCTGTATGTTCAAGATCTAGAAACTAGAATTAATTTATTCAATCAGCAAACATTTTGGTGCCTTCTATGTGTCAGTCACTCTTCAAAGGGCAGGGTAGACAGTGATGAAAACCAGGCAAAACGCCTTCTCTCAGAGGGTTACATTCTAAAGGGCTGTAATCACTGAGCCCTTTACTTGGGGAATGTGACAAGCACAATGTTAAACACGTCACAGGTTTTCACTCATTTACTCTCCAGTCAGATCCTTGAGCTTTACTACACAAACCTCCAAGGCATGTTCAGCCACAGTTTCTAGCAGAAGGGGTTAGAAAGCCTAACACATGTCACGCTTTTGATTTCTTTAAGTTTTATCGTCTTCAAGTCAGTAAGTCTCAAAATATGATCTCTGGACCAACTGCCTATGGCAACTGTTAAAATACTGATTTCTGGGTTCCAACTCAAACATCCTATATTAAAGTCTCTAGAAGTGAGATCCAGGAATCTTCTTTTTTTTTTGAGACAGAAGTCTTGCTCTGTCCCCCCAGCTAGAGTGCAGTGGCGCGATCATAGCTCACCGCAACCTCAAATGCCTGGGCTCCAGCGGTCCTCCTGCCTCAGCCTCCCGAGTAGCTGGGACTACAGGTGTGCACCACCATGCTTAGCTAATTTTTCTGTTTTTTGTAGAGACATGTCCACTCTTGCTCAGGCTGGTCTTGAACTCCTGAGCTCAAGTGATCCTCCCTACTTGGCCTCCCAGAGTGCTAGGATTACAGGCATGAGCCACCGTGACTGGCCCAGGAATCTATTTTTTAAATATACTTCCCAAGAGATCCTGACATCTCACCAACTTGGAGAAGCCTGAGTCTCGGGACAGGTAGTGAGAGGCTTTTTCTCCCAGTTGACCAAGGACCCTTTTCTCTTTTTGTCCCACGTGATCAGTCTCATTGCCACCCAGCTTTCCCAGCTGTGTAAAAGGGAGTGTGTTATGATGAGACGTTCTTTAAACCAGTGGTTTCCCATCTTGGTTATACATTAGTTACCGGGAAAGTTGTTATGTCTCTCTAAGCCCAGGCCACACTCCAAACCAAGTGGGTCAGAATCTTGGAGAGGAGGTCTCAGGCACCAGCATTTTTTAAACATCCCAGGTGAATTCCAATGTGTACCAAAGTCGAGAGCTACTGCTCCAAAGAAGTGCTTCTCAAATTTTAATATGCATATGAATCATCTGGGGATCTTATTATAGATTCTGATTCAGGAGATCAGGAGATTCTGTATTTCTAATAAATTCCCAGGTGGTACTGATGCTGCTAGTCTGTGGAACATACTAGATGTAGCAAGGCTCAAAAATCTCTAAAAATGAAAAAGATCATTTAGCAATTCCTATGCTTCAGTATGATTTTGCGCAAAATACAAGCTCAATGATTATCTGTTGTATATAAATGATACCTAAACCCTAACTGTGCTTAACATCATTATCCTATAGTTCTATTATGTAAAATGCTTAAAAACTATGCTTCTTTGTAGTCATTCATTTATTAGATAAGACTTCCAGAAATATACAAATTTCTTTCTTAAAAAAAAATAACAACTTAAAAACATGTGGACATTATTCAGTTCATTTACCCAACAGCTATATCAATCTTTCTTCAATGATGAACATAATGTGGTTTTAAAATTGACGTAGTCTTTAAGCCTATTATTTTTATTAATTTACTTCCATGTAATTGCACTTAATCAACTGTCTGACTTTAAATCTGAGTAAAAATTATGTAATAGATAATTTCTATTTCATATTTCATTTTTACTGTTGACAAACGTAACTGTTGCTTACCTTTCCAATACCATTAAAAAGCTTGCAAAAGATGGAACAAAAATCATTTTCTGCTCAGTCAAGATCCCATCCATCAGGCTGTTCACCACTTGCTCGGGTTCCAGAGTGGGTCCCAAACTGAAATCAGAGGCAATCTTCAGAAACAAAACATTTCACTGCGGCTTTGGCTTTAGCGTGGTGCTAAACAAATAAGTTAAATTAACACAGGAACCATAACATAAGCGACTTACAGTGCTTTTCAGAGGTGCAGAGAAACGGCAACTACTTTACCTTTAATAATAATAAGAAGAACCCTATATTCAGTGCTTACCAGGTACTGCACACTGTACTAGATATTCTACGTAGGTTATCCCATTGAAGTTTTACAACAACTTTATAAAGGCAATATTATATTCTCTATTTTACAAATGAGAATTATAGAAGCAACTAGGACTCAGAAATAATTTAGCAAGATTAGGACTGACAAGCTCACTTTTAAACTTTCAGCAGTCTTGGGAAAGAAATCAGATACCATTATAAAAGTTTTATTATACACTAAGTCTCTTTAGTGAACAATTTCTAGAGTGTCAGGGACATTAAAATATGATAGGTATGTGCCCAGCTCTAGGTCCTTGATCTTACGGATCAAGGAACACTTATATTTATTAGGTCTTGATTTACTTTTTGCTTTGTTACATCTTCACTGGGTAATCACCCAGGTATACGCACCACAGACTAACAGGTGGTCTATAAAAAGTGTCTTTTTAAAAATCTGTGTGTTAGAGAAGTGCACTTAGGGAGGAGTTGCACAAGCGTTGGTCCTCAGTTTTTTAACATTTTGTTAATGACTTAGGAAAAAAACAGTACATAATTAAACACACTCATGAATTTTGCCAATGCCACCAAACTATTGGGGTGGCTAACATTTTGGGGAGGCAGATTTTTAATGGGTATAACTAGTTAAAACAAGTAAGACAAAAAGTACTGAAGTTTTTTAGAAATAAATACAGAATAGTTCATTTGGAAAGAAAAAAATATATTGTAAAGTGAAATTGGGACAACTGAATATAGTATTGTACTTAAAAGTGAGAATGATAGGGCCGGGCGCGGTGGCTCACGCCTGTAATCCTAGCACTCTGGGAGGCCGAGGCGGGTGGATCGTTTGAGCTCAGGAGTTCGAGACCAGCCTGAGCAAGAGCAAGACCCCATCTCTACTAAAAATAGAAAGAAATTAACTGGACAACTAAAAATATATACAGAAAAAATTAGCCGGGCATGGTGGTGCATGTCTGTAGTTCCAGCTACTGGGGAGGCTGAGGCAGGAGGATTGCTTGAGCCCAGGAGTTTGAGGTTGCAGTGAGCTATGATTGTGCCTCTGCACTCTAGCCAAGGCAGCAGAGTGAGACCATATCTCAAAGAAAAAAAAAAATGAGAATATCCAATCATACTTAAATCTAATAAATTCAGATTAGGCTGTATTGTTTATATCATTAATTGGAAAAAAGAGATAACTTATTTCAGGAAAGAACATTTAATTAAAAATTGCTTATGTACCTAACAACAGAGCCCCAAAATATAGTAAGCAAAAACTGTCAGAATTGAAGTGAGACATACACAGTTTCAACAATAATAGCTGGAGACGTTAATTCCCATTTTCAACAATGTACTGAACAACTATACATTCTGATACTGCAAGTATTGGGGGGGAAAAAAGAACAACTAGACAGAAGATCAGCAAGAAATAGCAAGAACAATACTATTGTTCAGCAAGAACAATACTATAAGTGAATTAGTACTAACAGATACCTGTAAAACACTCCATCCAATGACACAGAATACATATTTTTCTCAGGAACACCTGGGAAATTTTCTCCAGGAGAGACCATATGTTAGATCCAAAATTAAACATCAAATTTAAAAAGACTGCAATTATATCAAGTATGTTCTCTGATCACAATGGAATGAAATTAGAAATCAATAAGAGAAGGAAAACTGGAAAATTCACAACTCTATGGCAATTAAACAGTGTACCCCTAAATAACCAATGGGACAAAGAAGAAGTCACAGGAAATTAGAAAATACCTTGAGATGAATGGAAATGAGAACGCAACATATCAAGAGTTATGGGGGTATCCCCTTTAACAGCACAAGGAAAGAAAAAAAAGAAAGAGTTACGGGGGTGCAGTGAAAGTAGTTCTTAGAGGGAAATTTACAGCTGCCTTCGATAAATGTTTTTAATAAAACTATTTATTGATATCCAAGTTTATTTAGCAAAAATAATTCAGCTTTCAAAAATTTAATCAGAATACCTGATTACATTTAATCCCAATAAACTCAGATTGGGCTGTATTATGCCTTTACAGTAAACCAGTTTCCTTGCAGTGTGTTAGATGTGTAAACACAAGAACCAATAAAGTACATTTTAGATGTGCTATAACAGAGAACTTAAGTTCCAACATTAATATTAAACATTATTTTGAATTCAGCCATTTACAGGTCGGTTCAATTTTCTTCATTCAAAAAGGCTTGTGTAGCTTGATCTGACCTCAGTTTCACTTACGGGCAAGTAACTTAATCTCTCCAAGCCTCAGGTAACTCTCATCTACTGAAGAGAACTAATAACATCTGCCTCAAAGAACTGTTGCAAGGTTTAAGAAAATGACATTGTATTTAGTCTAAAATATAAACAGGTGGTCAATTAGGGTACGCTCTTTCTTTCTCCTAAATGGAAGCACTAAGTTTCCATTTCAAAACAAACTTCACCTTTGTGGCCCACTCTAGTACCAGCTTAGCCTCAAAGGGGTTCACGTGGCTGCACTTTGCCAGTTTATATTCTGTGGTTAGGCTAGAATCACATTAGCTTTTTTTTAAATTTCGGAATATTGCAGGGGCACAAACATTGAGGTTACATACATGGCCTTTGCACTGCCCGCGTCAGAGCTACAAGCGTGCCCTTTTATTCACAGTTCCCCCCACAGCAAGCGTCACCATCCTTTTGTAACTGTACTAGCAGCGTTTCACCATGAGAGGGCACTCTTGCCCACATTAGGGCTAGCTCTGTGTAGCCTTGTCCTGGGGCGAGGTTAAAAAATTCAATTATAACTTCTAAAAATATGATGTGTGTTTGTAACTACTGAAAGACAGTCTGTGTTAAAAACTTGACTCAAATATATAAATTGGCAAGCTTTATCTTCCACACCTGCTTTCAGTCTTAGTGAACTCTTACCCTTTCTTCTCCACAGCTCCCCTTCCCAACCCAAAATACTTGTCCCTCATCTTCTCTTTTCAGGGTCCAATCAGGGTTTTCTTTCTTTCTTTCTCTCTTTCCCTTCCTTCTTTTTCCTTCTCTTCCTTCCTTCCTTTCTCTTTTCCTTTTTCTTTCTTTCTTTTTTTTTTAAAAACTGGGTCTCGTTCTGTCACCCAGGCTGGGGAGAGTGCAGCCTTGAACTCCTGGGCTCAAGGATCCTCCCACCTCAGCCTCCCGAGTAGTTGGGAATACAGGTGCGCACCACCATGCTCCACTAATGGGTTTTCTTGATTGATATATTAATAGATGAATTTAAGCATTGACCTTCTTGAAGTAAATATCCTGACTTTTATTTTCTAACAAAATTATTATTTAAAATAGATTTTTAGGACTATTTGATAGAATATTGGGGCTTGAGGTCTTTGGACAGCTCCAAAATTACTGCCTAATGTTGGTTTTCCGTTCTGCCTACCTGTGGACAAAGTGTATTTAAAATAGAAGCTGCTGTCCTCTCGAGTGGCCACACTGAATACTCCTCATTAATTTCAAATACATTTTCACCAAAGGCAGCTGAATTAGGAGAAGGAAGAAGAAAGGTTAAGGGGGCAAAATAGAACTTAAAGACTGAATCTCATCAATGCAACAGAATACAGAATCCAAAACTAGATCCAAGTAAATATGTGAACTTAATATAAATTTCAAATTAATGAGGGAAATGATGCATTAATTTAATAAATAGTGCAGAACGACCCTAACTATTTGGGAAAAACAATGAAACTGTACTGCGATCTCATTTATTTTTGTTTTTTATTTTTTGGAGACAGAGTCTCGCTTGGTCACCCTGGCTAGAGTGCAGTGCAATCATAGCTCAGTGCAACCTTCAACTCCTGGCTCACGCAATCCTCCTGCCTCAGCCTCCCGAGTAGCTGGGACTACAGCGTGCGCCACCACGCCTGGCTAATTTTTCTATTTTTTGTAGAGATGAGGTCTCGCTCTTGTTCAGGCTGTTCTTGAACTCCTGAGCTCAAGCAATCTTCCCGTCTCAGCCTCCCAGAATGCTAGGATTATAGGCGTGAGCCACCGCTCCCAGCCTCACTGCTTAAATCAAAGTAAATTCGGGTGGAGCAAAGATTTAAATGTGAAAAATGCAATCATAAAATATGTACTAGAATAAAATATAGATAGATATTTCCATAAACTTGGGACAAGAATGACCTTTCTAAATACCTCACAGAAGGTATTAGGCCATGAAGGAAAAAAAATCTCTGAGACATTTTAATGAAAAACTAAATGAAAATAGGCTTAAAGGCAAATAGCAACAGAAGTGACATATAAAGGGATATTTGGAATGTACAAGGAGCTCTTTCTTCTGTATCAATTTAACCACCATACCTCAATAGAAAAAAGTGAACAAAGGCCACAAAATAGGCAATTCATAAAAGACCAAAAACCACATGCAGACACTTTCATGTAGCTAGTCATAGGGATAAAAATAAAAATTATTCTTCATGTATTGAATTGGCAGTGATTAAAAGATTAGCAGAAGGCAGACTGGTGAAGTACAGTGAGGTGCTCTCCCTTCACTGTGGGCAGGAGGGCAAGTTGGGACAACATTTCTGGAGGGGGATTTGGCAATATGTAGGAATATTCACAATTTGCATATCCTTTGACCCAGCAGTCCCCATTCATGGATCTCACTGAAGGAGATCATTACCCAAATGTGAAACTGTGTGTGCACAAGGATGTTTATTACAGCTTTGCTATGTTATACATCTAGAAAATTGAAAACAACCCTCCAAGCATTACTAGGAGACACTATTGTTCCCAAAGATCAATACAATTTATGAGAAGGTCTGTACTTGATCGACGTGAAAAGATGTCTACAACATAATGCTAAGGGAAGTAAGCAGTATACTTCCTGCCCCACAACTTTATGTGTAATATACACCAGTTATACAAGATTTAGACATTGTACCTACATGTAGAGCGATGTCTAGAAGGATATTCACTAAAATGTTAAGAGTGGTTTCCATTGGATAGAGGGATTTAAGGAAATTTAAAAAGAAACTTTCCGATTTGTATTTTTCTATAATGTTGGAATTTAAAAGAAAAGTATGCATCATGTTTACAAAGACGTGAAAGCTATTCCCAAAGAGAGGAAACATTCAATATTATCTGCAAACCAATCGTTTAGAATTTTATTTTTTTAACCAAGGAAAGAGTATGGTCTGGTATTCATTTTGGAGAATAATCTCTGGATTACCAAAGGGAAATGTTTTTCACTCGTAGTCCTGGGTTATCTCCACCAGAATCACCTGTGATGCTTTTTAAGCACAGAGTTCCAGGCCCCTTCCCCACCACCCTTCCCCAATCAAACGCAGGAAACCAACATATCTGGGGCTGGGGCCCCTACATGGTTCCCAAGCACTCCTGGTGACATGTATGTATATTTAAGTCTGAGAAACACTGCTTAGGGGAAGAAAGAAAGGATGGGTTAGCAAGTGCACCTGTGTCATTCATATTTATATTTATAGTCATTCTCTCCCCCTCTTTCTCTCTCTGTCTCTCCACCTGTTTTCCCACAACCTGCGGAAGCTGAAATTGAGATGGGCATCGGATATCAGGTGTTTCAGGGATTAAAATACTTAGGAAAAGCCACAAAATAGCTGATATTCATAGCCACCTCCAGCCCTTCTGTCTCAATTTCTATCTCAATTTACCTGGTGCTGGGATTTTTGATGAAGCCAGTGTTTATGAAATTAGGACAGAGACATGTTGTTTTGACTCCAGTTCTTTTTAAGGCAGCCAGTTCATCAGTCAACGCTTTATGAAATCCAACAGCAGCAAACTTGCTTGAACTGAAAATAAACAAAGAGAGTTTGCAAAATAATTCAAGAAATCCTGACGTATCTGCTTAATTCAGGTGCCTGTGGTTCCTTAGTTAAGTGCAGTCCTCCGACAATCGGCATGAGTATCTCTGAATCTCAGCCCCAGTGCAGACCCTGAATCAGAGTGTGCACCTTGTAAGATGCCCGGGCAAACTTATAGGCACATTAAAGTCTATGAAGTACTGACATAGAACATTTACCACACACAGCATCATTTATCAGAGTGAGATTCATATAAATGAATTAATAGGAATAATGTTTATCAGAGTAGTTCATATAAATGTCTTCTTAAGAAAATTAGTAGCATATTTGTTTTTGTTATTGCTATTTCCATAAAATTCACTGCCACTTTAAGCTGTTCATTATTTATTATAAAATGTTCACGGAATGCACTGAAACATTTTCCTGGACAAATCTCACTCTTCCTGTAAGTCACAGCTTCACTTCCTCAAAGAGGCCTTTCCTGACCCCTTGTCGAAATTATTTTCCCATTATATAGTCATCTTCAGTTTTCCATAAGAGCACGTCTCAGATTTGTAACTAAACGTTCATTTGGGATTAGTTTGTTTAACATCTGTCCCTCACACCTTTACCATATGCTCCACCACTGTTTCGGAGACCAGGGAATCTCCAGCGCCCAGAACAGTGCTTAGCTCTCAGTGGGTGCTCAGTAAATACCTGTTAAATGAATGAATCACAATGCAGAGCAATTCTTATTTTAATAGCTCTTTCATTTGGAAATAGCAAAATTACTTATTCTAAGCAGACATTACTTTTTTCAGAAAGGTTTTTTTTTTTAAAGAAAAAAGCTTTATTGAGATATAAATTCATATACGAATCACCCACTTAATGTGCACAATGCAATGGTTTTTAGTATATTACACTATAAATTTTTTAAAAACTCTGGTATAACATATAGTGTAAAATTTGTCATTTTAACCATTTTTCAGTGTACAATTTAGTGGCATTAATTATCAGATAGATTGTCTTTTATTCTTTTAAATCTGTATGAATTAGCAATTAAACAACGTAGCTGTAAATTCTCACCAGTTAATCTGTGCTTTGGAAAATAGAAAGCTGTGGGAAGTTCTCTTTTTCCTTTTTTTAAGAAGCTTAGAATCATATTGAAGGCTCAAGAGAAAGATTGCTAGATTCACCTATTTAAAGTAAAAATCTTTTGTACATTGAAAAACATAGACAAATAAAAATAATCACATCTAGAATTGATTACTATGTTAGACACTCCTCAGTTATTCAGAAGTATTATTTCATTTAATCCTGACAACTCTATGAAATATATTATAATCCTCATTTACCGAAAAGGAAAATCAGGCATGGTGTGGGGGGGTAAAGAACTTGCCTAAAGATACAGAACAAAGTGGCAGAATCAGGCTTGAAATGTGGGAAATAAACCAGTCTGTATATGATATATCCTATACTTCATTAATTCCCAACCAAGTTAAGAGGCAAGTGACAAACTGGTAAAGCATTTGGGTTAATACATGGCAACTTTTATAAAGAAATAAGACAATATTCTAACAGATAATAGCTAAAGCACATTAGTAGAAAATTCACAAAATAAAAATACCAATAGTTATAGGCATATAAAAATGTTTTGTTTCAAGAGTAATTCATATTACATGAATACAAAGCAAAACAGAACGAATTCTTGCTCATTGGTAATGGTAAGAACAGGAGGAAATTTTATTTGTTTGAGTTGTTTTTAAATGTACAGATTTTCATTTTATATAATTGAATTTAGCAATCTTTCCTTTTTAAGCCTTCAATATATGCCTTAAGCTTAAAAAAAAAGTGAGAAAAAACTTTCCACAGCTTTCTGTTTTCCAAAGCACAGGTTAATTGACGGAGCAATTTGGCAAAAGGCACCAAATTCATTTAAAACGTGCCATGCTCTTAGATCCAATAATTCTCTATTAAGTGTGTATCCCAAGGAAATAATCAATCATGTTTCCAAAGATTTGTATTCAAGGATAGTCCCTGGGGTGCAGTTGATGAAAGCAAATAGTTGGAAACAATTTTAAATGTCTGCAGTGGAGGCTGCTGGTGTTGCCCGTCAGCATTCACATCCCCTTGTTCCGGTAACGTCACCGTCACCACCACACACAGCAATGGGCTCCACGTTGGCCTAGCGACCGACCTCCAGAACAAGCACGTTTGAAGGCATTATTGGGAAGTGGTGGTTTTTCCTCCTCCTGCTGGACTTGGAGTTTAAAGGATGTGACTCTGGAACTGCTGGTAAATCTCTTGCCACCAAAGGAGGAGACCCCGCCTGAGACTTTAATTACAAAGCCAAAAAATTTCTCTTTTGGTCTGGGGCAGTTTAAGTTTTATGTTCCTTGCAACTGACAGAGTCCTGACAATTAAAATTCTAACAGTAATGGATAAGTTGAATAAATAGTGGCACATATGTACAGTGCTATACCTTGTAGAAATTGCAAATGTTGCCCATATATATTTATTAACATACAAACCTTATTCACTTTATTTTTATTTATTTATTTTTTTGAGACAGAGTCTCACTCTGTTGCCCGGGCTAGAGTGCCGTGGTGTCAGCCTAGCTCACAGC